AAGCATTCGAAAACATTGATATGTTGGTTTTATATGTATGTATATGCCATATAAGGTAATGAGAGTGCATTTTATCATTTAAATAGGATTACCAAAAGTGTAATAAAACAGCTTATTATTAGAGAGTGATAGGCTGGTTAGCTGGGAATATGAATACATACAGTTATGTGCATATCTATATATCTTTGTTTATATGCACAGAGAGTGAAAGAGAAAGAGACAAATCTCCTTCTTTTTCCCTCTCTGGTGTGCATAAACAAATAATGTAGGAATGCAGTTACTTATATGTCAATATATTTTTGCCTTATTTGTTCATGCACACAGAGAGTGAATAAGAGAAAGAAATATTATTGCACTTTTGGTGATTGTTCGAATCAGTGACATTCATAGCAGAGCTAGCTATAAATGAGTTGTAATGAAGTGAGGGTGGTATTAAAAAGCCACTTGCTGCATCATTAATTGAAAGAAAGAATCAGAGCAAAAATGAAAGTCTATATCACCATTGTGTGTTGCATAAACTTAGCTTCACCCAATCATGTAAGTACTAGCATAGCATACACACATACACATGCACATCTCTTTCTCCTTTTGATGCAGGCAAACTACAATTGTCTCTTAACAATGGATCAATCTTCAAAGCGTCACAGGAAGTGTTTGTACAAGAAGGAGACCACATTTCTATTGGCTGTGATTATTGTTCATACAATAAATACATCAAATATCTATGAAAAACAAATCTCTCTAATTACAATCAAATAGGGCTATTGCTTACTGGAAATTATACCACTATTATTGATACATCTCACTCCTTTCAATGCTGCCAGAATGTTGGTGGCGTATGGGAATGTTTGCCAAGTGCAAATGTGACATTAATATATAAATCATTGTTATAGTTCAATTAAATACAGTGAGCATTGCACAAATACAAGCAGAACCACAGTACTGTGAAGTGTTACCATTGGAAGAAAAAGTGAAAGTATCAGAATGCAATGTAAAATTGAAGAGTTGAGGATAACAAGAAAGTTTTATTGAACAAACTTTTATGAAACTTTTTTGTCGAAATGACATTAGGGTGCTGAAAGTTTTACAAGAATTACCAAATTGTAGTATAATATACGGCTACTAGATCTATATGAAATTTCATCAAAAATGGCTAGGAGATAATTTTACATTTTCGTTACATTATTTTTTATTAATGTTGTCATTTTTTCCCTAGTACATGTATGTGTTATGTATCCAGTTTGAGCTGAGTTTGAGAACAAGCACTAAAAAACTGATATGTGGGTTGTATATACATCTATGTATATGCCATATAAGGTAATGAGTGTGTACAGTATAAAAAACATGTCATTGATTAGAACATACAATTACCAAAGGTGCAATAATGAGGAATGCAAAAAGTTTATTATTACATATATAAAGAAACTCTAAACATCAATACACATCCCTTATTTGTTAATACACAGGAATAGTGAAAGAGAAAGGGCACCTTTGGTAATTACATCATAGCACAGCTATAAATAAGACGAAATTGCAACATCATAAATTGAAAGAGAGAAATCCGAAAAAAATGAAAGTCTATATTATCATTGCCTGTTGCATACTTAGCTTCACTCAGTCATGTAAGTATAACACATACACATTATACACACAATATCTATCTATCTATCTCTCTTTAATGCAGGCATAGTACAAGTGTCTCTTAACAGTGGGCCAATCTTTAATGCGTCACAAGAAGTGATTGTACAAGAAGGAGATCACATTTCCATTGGTTGTGATTATTGTTTCTACAATATCTACATTAAATATCTCATCAAAACAAATCTCTCTGATTACAATCAACTAGGAATATTTTTTCATGGAAATTATATGACTAACATCACTACATCTCACTCCTTTCAATGCTGCCAGCATGATGGCGGATGGAAGTGTTCACTAAGTACAATTATAAATGTGACAAAAAATTCATTAAGTAAGCAACTCAATAATAATATTATTTTAGTTTTTTAGATCCATGTGAATGCAATTGCACTCAACCCCTACCAATAACAGAAACTGCTACATACACAGAGACGGTTACATCAATAACAACAAATGATGTAACTATGACAAAATTCCTAATAACAGACTCAGTTATCAGTATTACCACGAGTACTTTTGGTATTACTGTACACTCATCAATCAGTGACATAGTGGTGACTAGTAGCTTAAGTGCAGGTAAGTGAATGTGATATCTTAACTTTATCTTTATAACTTCTCACTATTGATGCATTGTAGCTCCTACAGTGACTGATACTGTTATTTACTTTACTGATACTGCAACAAAAATAACCAAGTTGGAGACTACTAACAAAACATTGATTACCACAACAAGTACTGATACTGCAACAAAAATAACCAAGTTGGAAACTAATAACAAAACATTGATTATCACAACAAGTAATCATTAGAGTAGCTTAATGTTCATTTATGTACATACTTTCCATCAACAGGTGCAGCTGCAGGAGGTGTTTGTTCAATTGTATTTTTAACTATCATCTTTTTCTGTTCATACTTTGCCTTAAAGAGGAGAAAACAAAGTAATACCTGCTACAATATAAACCTTTATTAATAGTTTTGATATTTACAGTGAGCATTGCACAAATACAAGGAGAACCTCAGCTCTGTCAAGCACTGCCATATTGGAAGAAAAAGTGAATGTATCAGAATGCCAAGCGTATGGAAAACTTGATAAAGAAAGAGTAAAGGTATCAGAATGCGAAGCATATGGCAAACTTGACCAGATGAGAATAACAAGAAACACAAGTTAATAATTATAATGATAATTATAAAGGCTGGAATATGTATGTGTGCATACACCACAACATCATTATACAATAGTTTATTATTATTACACAAGTGAATGATTGAGTGTTATTCTGTTAAAACCAGTTCTTATATTATTAGTTGTATATACTGTTGAATATTGTACTCCATTAATAACTGGTGGATTATTAACCATAGTAACAACAGGTCGAGGATTATACCAGCAATTCTCATCATTATAAAGAGGAGGAGGAGGGAGAGGGGAGGAAGGGAAGTCCAACTGAGCATATTCCCTACCATCAATTGGTCTTGCTGAAAGAGGAGGAGTAGCTTCTGATGAAACGTTCAGCCTTGAAGGCTACAATGAAACAGAAAGACAACATGAATACTAAAGCTTACAATAATCAACATTCAATCACAATGAATGACTGGTATTCCAACAGTATAATACATTCAATATGTATCTTACTATTATAACACTCTGTGGTCTATCAAATGGCTCAGTTGCTATATTGAGTGCTGACTCATAAGATGGTGGAGGTGATAATTCATCAGCTACAGGTAATGATGCTAACTGATTCACTGCAGCCCATGCTGATAGCACTGGTGTAGGCCTCAATGAGGACTAGAAATTGATTTTAAAAAACTCATAAAGCAACTACAAATACACTAAGTAATAACGTATTTAGCTACACTGCAATATGATAGTAATCAGTACTGTACATTTAATGCAATAATAGATATGGTCTCATAATGATAGGGGCTTACTCTTGTAGTCTGTGGCTGTACTGATGAATTACTATTATCTCTCAATATTAACCCAGTGTCTGATTGTGAACTATAAGGAGATAGAACAAAATATTGCAAAAAATTAATCATAATTGTATTAAGTTGACATTATATTATTCATCTTTTATGCATAGGCAGTTTTAGTTATAAGTACTACACTGGGGAATGACTTACTCTGGTGAAGGTAGGTCTGTAGTTACTGTTGATGGTGATGATGTATTAAGAGATGAAGGAGGAGGAGCAGGAGGAGGAGCGAGCGATGGAGACGTCTCGTCACTAGTGACAGTTGAAGGAGTAACTTCACGTTCCAATTCATTGACTGGTCTACACTCATACCTTGAGAGAGATAGAGAGAAAATAAAGCAGTATAATGTATTTAAGGTAATAGTATGATAAATTGTAATATGTCTGTAATTAGGGTTCAAAATTTTAAAAAAGGATAAATTACCTATTATTAAATATTACAAACTTAAAGTTGCTTCAAAATTTGGTCATGTTTTATAGTACATTGTACTTAAGTATAAAAAATGAGAACAAAATTCTGCATTATAAATTTTTTTCTAATACATAATACAGTGGCAGATCTAGGGGGGTTCCAGGGTTCCATGGAACCCCCCTTTGGCAGAAGAAGTTTCTTTTTGCAGTTTCTTTGCAGCACTTTTCCTCCATTTTAGTAATTTAAATTGATGAGCCACACCTAAATTTAATTAAAAGTAATGAGCCACACCCACTTAAGTAAAATGGAACCCCCATTTTAATTTTTCTGAATCCACTAGTGTAATACATGTTATTTTGTTGTATTTTAAGTTTGGGCTGATTCTGATAAAAATTGGATTAAAAAAAATTTTTTTTTAAGTTACTCAAAAACTGAGTCAAAGTCCCTGTACTATAGTACAGGCTCATTGGCCAAATTTTCTCAAAAATGGCTAAGTAAGAATTCTGCATTTTTATAATTTTTTCTGATGCATATACATGTACTTATGTTGTGTAGAAAATTTGAGCTGATTCCGATCAAATTTAAATTTTTTATGAATTTTTAAAGTTACTCAAAAATTGGGCCAAAGTCCCTGTACTATAGTACAGGCTCGTTGGCCAAATTTCACCAAAAATCACTTGATAAGATATCTCCATTTTAATAATTTTTTCTGATGCATGTACATGTACTTATGTTGTGTAGAAAACTTGAACTGATTCCGATCAAATTTGAATTTTTTATGAATTTTTAAAGTTACTCAAAAATTGGGCCAAAGTTCCTGTACTATATAGTACAGGCTCGTTGGCCAAATTTTGCCAAAAATCACTTGGTAAGATATCTCCATTTTTATAATTTTTCCTGATGCATATACATGTACTTAGAAAATTTGAGCTGATTTCGATCAAATTTGAATTTTTTATGAATTTTTGAAGTTACTCAAAAATTGGGCCAAAGTGCCAAATTTTGTCAAAAATCACTAAGTAAGATATCTCCATTTTTATAATTTTCTCTGATGCATGTACATGTACTAATGTTGTGTAGAAAATTTGAGCTGATTCTGATCAAATTTGAATTTTTTATGAATTTTAAAAGTATCTTAATTAATAGGGGCTCACTCATTGGTAGGTTGAGGTTGGAATGAGTTTGATCTCCTCATTGTTCCATGATCCCTCTCTGTCTCCCACACCTTCCTTTGTCTATTCCTTCTCAATTGATAGATTATTAATATTGATAATATGATTATCATTAATATTAATAAGATTCCTATTCCTATAGCTGTAATAAAAAGAAATAAAATGCATTACAATGAAAAGTAAAGGTATAATTAATCAATTGTACATAAATGCAATATACTTACCAGCATCTCTAAATGGCTGAATAGAAAATGTGTCTCCAGATACTTCACCAGTAGTTGTAGGGCCTACATGTATATACATATATCACATGACAATCATATGACACTCACCTGATACTGATGGACTACTAACAGGGCCACTCATTGTAGGAGAAGGTAGCAGAGATTGCACTGTAGCAGTAACTACATTATTATCATCATCATCATTATTATTATTAATTGTAATATTTGATAGGGTAACAGCAGCGTTTCCTCTTTCTCCATTTGTCTCTACATCATATACTGCAATGTTGTACAGACCCTCTTCTAGTTTAGTGACACACCCACTAGCTGACTCCTCCCCTTTCCCTCGGCTAATGTGAACAGCAGTGTAACCAGTGGTATGTACTGTGTGTGACAGTTCAGCATAGCAACCAACATCACTGGAACCCTTCATAAAGGAACAAGATATGCACAGGACCCCCTTTTGGGGGGAATTAACGCTAACATTTTGCACCCCAAAACTACCTACAAAAATAAATAAAATAATAATAAAAATTAAAATAATCAAAATGACTTACTTATTGTTGCGTTAGCAGTATTACTGACTCCACCTCCATTCTCATCCCACATAACGAGTTGATAAAACCTGTTTTCAGTCAAATTGTGCAAAACTAGCTCTACAAATCCATTTTTTAGTGGAAGTGGTCCAAATGAGTGGGTGTGGTCTCCAGTGTTTATTTTAACATGATGAGGTAACCATGAACCACAGTTAGGTTGAACAATCTATGATAATAAATAAATAATAATATATAATTATAAATAATAAATAATATAATTATTTATTATTAATTTGATTGCTAATGTGTGAAAATTGACTTCTTTACAATAATCATAACGTGATAATGACTCACTAATTTTATAATAAGAATAAATGTTTAGCCTTGAACATGAACAAGGTCGAACAAGCAAGATTTAAACAGGAAGAAAAGAGAGTATTACCTTAAAACTGATGTTAACTTGAGGCAGAGAATCAACTGATGATTTATAAATGAATAACTGAACAGTATCAGCTTCTATATGTGGAGCTGTAAAAAAAGAAAGGAGAGAAATAAGATCATTAATTAATAATTTGCATATGATTTGAATTGGCTCAAAATTCAAGTAACTGACGCACATGTTAATTTAAGGATGAGTTTACCTTCAATAATGTTAATGCTTCTAGTTGCATTGTTGCTATATCCAGCTCCATTTTGAGCAGTGACACTGACTCTATATAGCTCACACTGATAAGGCAGTGGTATTAATGATGACAGGGTTGTATTGGATAGTACGTATGTCTCTGTAGTGTTAGTATACACACCATTCAATTGTAAGTGATAACTGGTGATGGGGACATTAAGCAGGGTATGTGGAGATATAAATGAGATATTTATAAATGATGAATTTGTACGTAATACAGTTAGATTGTGAACTGGTTCTAATAGACCTATAAAAATAGAAGAGAGTGATAGAGAGAGAGAGAAAGGGAGAGAGTGAAGGAGAGAGAGAAAGAGGGAGAGGATAGTAACAATGAGTAGTAGTATCTGATGTCAAGTCACATTAGTCTAGTAATAACAAAACAGAGAAATACAATGATTATAAAATTAGCAAAACAAACACAACCCAATCAGTATAATTACTACAAAAAATATTGTCATATAATCCCATATTTAATGCTACCTGCCGTTGTAACACAATACACTTATCATCAATTAATACACATTAGCTAGCATTTTACCTTGTACTAGAAGTATAGCTGAGACATTGGTGGTCTTGTGTGTATAAGAAGAAACAGCAAGGCAGGTTATGATGGATCCGTTTAGTGTTTCAGTAGCATTAACTGTCAGCAATGAAGTATACACCAATGAGTTATGAGTGTCATTAGGTACTGCATTATATGTTATAGCTGGCAGCCCATTGATAGTCCATCCAAGAACTAGTGTATTAGAGGCCACACAAGTGAATGGGGCATTACTACCAACTGTAGTATTGAGTGACTGGGGAGGTACTATTACTAGAGAGAGAGAGGAGAGAGGGGAACAAAGCAATATTAAACCAGTTCTTTGTTCATAGTATTGTTTTTTATTCTACAAGTGCTCCACCTAGTGTGGCATAATAGAGAGAGTTTATTTTATTCAGTGTACAAACATGTGATAATCATGTTAGGAAGAATCATAGGAATGATACACACCCAAACCTCAAGTACATGTAGCACATTGGACATGTACTAAACCAATTTACCACATAATTAATGATGCTAGTTTGTAGTGGTCAAATCCATCAACACCCAAAATAGTTGTACCCACTCTCTCTCTCTCTCTCTCTCTCTCTCTCTCTCTCTCCTCCTCCTCTACTTTTTCTCATCTTTCCTACATGTACATAGTTTAC